ATAGAATAGAATAGAATAGAATAGAATAGAATAGAATAGAATAGAATAGAATAGAAATAGCATCACAAATTCCCACAAGCTACACCTCCCAAGTTGTTCTCGTGGGGAATTCCTGCACATGTCTAACTGGCCCTGACAAGAGAGGATTTGTTAAAAACTTACTAACAACATAAACTAATTCTGTGTCATCTTTATTTGTTACATGCATGCACAGATTTTTCTGTCAATGCAATCCAGATGTTTCTCCATTTGAAATGCGCCTTCATATTTATTAGTCATGACATCAAAGGAGGAGGGGGGAAAGAAACTGGGTGACTTTAACACATGTCCCTTCCCAAATCTATCTTGTTCCTCTTCCCCATCAATTTAAAGTTTGGCACAAAAATAAAGCAAGTTTGGCCAGAAATGCTACAAAAGAACAAAATAAAAGTATTCACGATGGATGAAGGCTGCTTCTAACTGGATCGCAAAAAGATGCTTCAGAACATCACTCCGCGGACATCACTTCAACCTGCAATTCTTTAAACCAGGATGGCCAACCTTGGCAATGTTAAGACTTGTGGACTTCAACTCCCAGAATTCCACAGCAAGCAGAACCCAACATGGCCCATAACTCCTCCTTTCCTCATCCAACATGCCTCCTATCAGGTTCCGCTACTCACACTGGAGAATAAATGACAAACACACCTTGTTTTGCCAATGCCTTTTATCTCTTCCGTGGAAAACGTGGTACGAACTCACCAGGACAAAAGCGCATAGTAGTGAGATCTGCTTGCTTAGCGCTACCCAACCCCAAATACAGCTGCGTCAAAACTCTGCCACCACCACACCCAGTGATCTTGTTCCAAACAAGGGAAATGCCACCCCACGGCTGCTTTGAAAGTAACACCTCCCAGGTGATCTCCCATGTGCCATCATTCTATTCATCGTGGTCCAAGTCAGTGCCGATCAGCTGTTAGGTTGCCACGATTCACTCAGCAAGGCAGGCAGTGGTCTTGAGCGATCGTCCAAACCCCCCGGAATGGCAGCCCTGCGCTATTAGAGCTGACACCCTCAACCGTTTCCCCACCAGGGATGGTATGCTACTGGTTCAGACCGGTTCACTTGAACCGGTAGTAAAAAAAAAAAAAAAAGCCAACGATCCGCTGAGAGGAGGAAAAAAAATCCTCTGACAATCAGCTGATAGGAAAAAGAAAAGTGCAGGATTGGCCCTCCCACTTTCCCCTGCGCTTTTCTCTTCTATCCTTGCACCTGATTGGCACTGCGGGTCTCCGCTGGTGTGGGGAAACCTGCACACCCAGCGTTAGGCAAAGCACACTCACCAAGCCATGCCCACCGAACTGGTGGTAAAACAATTTGCATCTCACCACTGCTCCCCACCACAGAAAAGAGAAGTTCTAAGCATCCCATATCTAGGCAGGTAAACATCTACGGAGATTCTCAAATCGGCCAGGTCCTGGTTGTCCTAAAGGTGCTTTCCCAAAAGGCAACTGGACTTTCTTGTTGTTGTTTTCCTTGAAAACATTTTGCTTCTCACCCAGAACCGAAGAAGCTTTTGGGGTGAGAGGTTTTCAAGGAAAAACCCAAGAAAATCCAGTTGCCTGTTGGGATATCTAGGCAGGTAAGACCAGAACATTTTGGGTTTTCAAGCTTGGAAGCACATTCTGAAAAGCATCACCTCCCAATGTAGATGTCAGCCTTGGAAGCCATATTTTTTATTTGGAAGCTTCGAGGCTGCCACATTCAGTGCCTGGGAATTTGGGAGGGGGGATTTCATAGAGAGGGGGAAAATTAGACTCAACAACATTCCTTTCTCAGAGAGTCAAGGACATGTTGCCCTGCACCTGGAGGGGACTGTCTGGAGGAAGGTCTCCAGTTGGGATAACGATTTCATCGGTCCATGTGATGGACTGGTGGGCGCAGGGGATGGATCTTTGGTTCTCTTTTGGGAAGAGAAAACCCGGAAGCCTCAGATTCGGCTTTTCCCAGATGCACCAATATGAGAACGCTAACAAAATGGAACTTTGAGGAAACGCTTTCTCGGAGTTCATTGTGTTGGAGTTTGTTGGCTGGAATGCTGATAGTGGACTTTGACAATCACCAAAGTGCTTTGTACAAACCTCGCTGGCTCTTCTTTTGCGGACAGGGAAGATTGGGCCCTTCTTCCGCTAAAAGACCAATGGTGGTATACTTAGAGGAGCAAAAGGCCACACATACACACCAACCTGCTGATGCCTTACAGGCCAACTTGGATTGGAGCCAGTCAGAATAACTAATCTTCAGCAGCCACTTTCCATGACTACTGCTGGCCTCTGAATTATGAGATTTACAGCTAAAGGGTGATGAAGGGAACCAGGAAACGGAGGTTAAATGTTAAGCAGACCTACAAAACAAGAGTCCATTTTTCACATTTGGAATCGACGCCTATGAATTCAGCTTGGGCTATTTATCTGCCAGCACTGGAGATTTCCCATTAAAAAATAATAATAACAGCCACCCCAAAATGCAACAGTTAAAAGGGATAGTAATAGCCACTCAAGAGACTCTCCCTCATTTCTACATTTCTGAATTATGCCTTCAACAAGTCAACTTCATATATATGCTAAGTAGGAAATAATGGTGAGATAATTGCTCAAGGCATTCATCCATTTCCCTAAACATCTATGCTAGCTCTGGCTTTTATTCAAATATTCTACTCTAAGACAGCCATCAACAAGGCTTTTACTTTCCAAAACCATTTCCATTAGACTTTGAAGAAGCAAGATTAAGATCTCACACCTATAGTTGTTGAAGCTATGTGTGAGCCCTTGAAAAGAGAAAATATCTATGGCATTAGAAGACCCAATTATTCCAAGAATCCAAATCTGGAATGAGACCTCAACAGTGGTGGTCATCTAACTACCAAGTATTCTTGATCAAGGTAGATTCAATGATTCTAATATATTTTACTCAATAGATAGAGCTAACCATCTGTGTGTCTGTCTTTGGTTGACGATCCAGAGAATATTTGGGGAGATATGGGTCCCCTTACATAACAGAATACAGTATTACAGAGTTGGAAGGGACTTTGGAGGTCTTCTAGTCCAACCTTCCTGCTCAGGCAGGAAGCCCTATATCACTTTAGACAAATGGTTGTCCAATCTCTTCTTAAACATCTCAAACAAGGGTGTCCTTTTTATCAAGTCTAAAATCGTTGAGGTCTCATCCAAACTACATTGCAACTATCAACAAGACATAATCAGGCATGGCCAAGTGAGACAGGAGAGACCTCAAAACTGGGTAATGCCTGGAAAAGATCACCGGCCCTACCACATCTGAAGGGTCTTGAAGGACTTCAAGAGAACAAAGAGCTCTGGACTAATGTCACCCAGATCTTCATGCATCTGTAACCTTGAAACATCTCCCAGGGTCATTCTTTTGGAGCACACAGAGAAGGCTGGAGCCAAACCAGATGTAGAAAGTGGGCCAAGTTTTCTTCCACCCAAGCATGAACCCACTCTGATCCTTAAGAACTTCCATGCAAGGGTTTAATAAATAGACACCTCAGTTGGTCATCAAAAGGAAAACCCTCTCCATCAGAGATTTTTTTGTGTCTTTTAATGACCCCATAATCCTGCAACTGAATGGAGCTGAGTGTTTACTGGGCGGATGTCCGGATATATATTCTCATTGTGCCGAGAGAGAGAGAGAGAGAAATACCAAAGACTGACCTGATTTAAACCATGATCTGCTGTGGGGAACTGATATCAGCCTGGTTGAGCAACAGGAAGCAAGTCAGAACTACACATTTTGAAAATCAAAGTGGCTCCAATTCTGGTGACCTTGTTTAACCCGTGCAAAAAAATTCCCATGCGGTGGGAACAAATGCTAAACCTTCAGCGTGGCGCTCACATTCTTCCAGAACAATGGAGTTGACAAGGCTGGGCAACCTCTGAAGGAAAGGCTACGTTTCTCAGCCATGAGCGCCTGGCTGTGGCTTCCTCTCCTCCCCCATCCTACCTCACCCCGACGGAGATGAAAGCCAGTGTGGCTCTTGATGTGCCTTCGGGACACAAATGCCTTTTGCTCACCCACACAAAGGTGGATTCTGAAGGATGAGAGAGAGGAGAAAAAGGTACATTCAAGGAAGGATTAAGCAGCCAGATCAGGCTGTGGTTGAAAAGCTGAGCCTCGACTCCAGCTGAAATGGGATTGGAAGCCGGGATTAGATTGGCAAGTTTGATCTTTCCTTCAACTTAAGAGGCTGCATCGAGACAGGACGAAAAAAGGATGCTAACAGCTTGATTGACGTACCATCTGAAGCCTGGGCTTGGTTTAATCTGAGCTGGGTGCAGGCAACACGTAAAACCAAAATCACAACATGTGATTTGCTTAATGACTGTTGTAAAATGGTCATAAAATCAGGGATCATGGTTCACTTAATGATTGC